CCCCAAAACCCCAAAACCCCAAAACCCCACTTCACTTCCACCATTGAACCCCAATTATTCACCAACATCTGATAGCAAAGACTTGATCTGGCATCCGTAGAATAGGATCCCTTCCATATCAAAGAATCTCTTCTGGGTCTGCTCCCTGTCGTGCAGCTCAATTCCTACTACAGTGACATATCTGCCCACCATTCTTTGCTTGAGAGCAATGTAATAGTTGTACAGCATAGTCTAGAATGAGAGCGAGGAGTTACATTTAAGTCATAGGCAATGGCAGCCAGGCGGAGTCTGTAGTAGTCTTGCCTATAGTTTAGGTAAAGGGTATTACTTGATGGCTAGATTGTTGAGTAGCATTAAGGCTTTTTCGGAGAAATTTGAGGAGATTAGTTTTTCTTCCAGATTGGTCCCTAAATGTTTAGTTTAGTTTTACCTTTTGTTTCTTCAAATTTATCACAGTAAAAGGATTGATCGAATTCTATTAGGTGTTCATTTGAATGGAAAATTTCAGGAGTTAGGCTTTTGTCAGAAAGACCCATGAAGCATTTTAAATAATTTTCATCTGCTTGAGCAGTTGAAAATTCTGTGGTTACATCTTCTGGCTCAACCATCTCAAAAATTCCTGGATCAGTGAATGATTTAGGAGGGTTTTTTGCTTGTCTTTGGTAGTCTAACATAAAGTTAAACTTCATTACACATTTCAGATAAAGTATACATCATTTGTATTACCAAATAATGAGATCTATCAGTATAAAGCCAGAGTCTTGACCCACAGCAAGAAAACAAATTTGACAGCTTAGAGGTGACATTTGTACGTTTTCAGGCGAAATTTAAAATGAAGATTAGCAGTTCAGAGACTTCTCCTTAAGGCTTGTAGTTTAACATATAGGAAATTATTGAGAAATAGAATGCTTCACCATATTGAGGTTTAGCTTTGGATAAGTGTTATAATCATTAGCGATAATGGTAAACTCAGTTATTTTTAAATATATATAAAGCTGTATCTCATAACCACATTTTTCTACCTCAAAGTTGCAGGTTTTGAAGAAAAAATGTTAAAAATTTAATTTTTTACTGTAAATTTTTTAGATTTGACTAAAACTTAAGGCAAACTTTAAAGTTTAGTTCTAAGCTTGTTAACTAATTTTATATCCACAACATTCGTTTCCAGAATTGGTAGTTTTATTATTATTTTAATACTGATAAGCTATCATTAATGTTTTGGAGGGAAGTATTTTTAGTTTATTACCCATAACAGCATCTAAAAACTTTTCTTTAACAATATGAGCCAATGGATGATCTTCAACTGTCATTGGATAATCATGCACAAATATTGCAATGGTCTTGATTGGAGTTGTTGCGTAATTACTGAATAATACCTAAAGTCTTATAATCCTATTTACTTTAAATCCATTCCAAAAAGGTATTGACTCTAGAGAGGATTTTTCAAATTCAGCTATCTTAAGCTCATCGAATAATTCACTTGATGGGACAGCAAGTTCACATTTAGCTTCAAATTCATCAGAGTTTTCTGGATCTGATGAAGAATTTTCTGAACCAGAGCTTTCTATTGATTCATTCATGTCAGTGTCCTCTGACTTTATGGCTACTTGCCCATTAAATATATCTATTTGGAATGGCTTTATAATTCCGGTTGCACAAAAAATCTGGTTCTTTAAGTAATCTTCACGTTGAGAGTAATAAATCCCTTCTAAATTATTGAATATTTTCTTGAGTCTAATATTCTCATTGAATCTATGTCTAACTCCTGAGATTCTTGCAAGTTCAACTGTGAACTCTTGGCTGACATCACTTTCCAATACTCTTAAGATGTTCCACAACTTCGACTCACAGCTGTCATAAAACTTGCTGAAATTTTTGAGTTGTCTGTGAGAATTACTTTAGAGATCTTACCTGTCTTGATACTCCGAATTTTGATCTCGTACCATACTACTAATCATGTTGTGATACCTGACCTCTCTGTCATAATCTCTGATAATTGCAACATACCTAGGAATCATCCTCCTCAAAACTTCATTATCCTCCCTAAAAATCACATACAACCCTACACAATATTATGATAAAACTTCTTGGACACAAAAGCAAGCCCAGAGTTGACAATATCCTTAAACTCAAGGAACACAAGTATCTCTCTCAGCACAACATTAAGCAACTTCATATTTATTATATCCGACCCGTATTCTTTTCCTGGGGTTTTGGGGTTTTGGGGTTTTGGGGTTTTGGGG